GATTGGTTGAATCAGTTCATAACTCCACAACGGTGCATTAAAGTGTGATTTTTCCCACATCCCCTCCAACATTTGTCATTTACATTTTCTGTCCTATTAGCCAATGTAATAGATGTGAGGTAGTACCTCAGAATTGGTTTTAATTTGCATTTCTCCAATCAGTAGTGAGTTGGGTATTTTTTCATGTGGCTATAGATAACTTTGATTTTTTTCCCCTGCGGGATTATACTCAGTTTTGTTGGCAAGGTGATTCTTGATAATCCTAGCTCCTTTAACCTCTGGAATATCTTATCCCAAGCCCTCCAGTCCATTAATGTAGAAACTGTTAAATCTTGTGTTATCCTGACTATGGTTCCACAATACTGGAATTGTTTCTTTCTGGCTGCTCACAATATTTTCTCCTTGACCTGGGAACTCTGGAATTTGGCTATAATATTCCTAGGGTTTTCCTTTGGGATCTCTTTCAAGAGGTGATCAGTGGATTCTTTCCATTTCTATTTTATGCCCTTTTCTAAAATATCAGGGCAGTTTTCTTGATAATTTCTTGAAAGATGATGTCTAGGCTCTTGTTTTTAATTGTAGTTTTCAAGTAGTCCATAATTTTTAAATTATTTCTCCTGGATCTGTTTTCCAGGTTAGTTGTTTTTCCAGTGAGATAGTTTACATTGTCTTCTATTTTTTCTTTCTTTTGATTTTGTTTTATAATTTCTTGATTTCGCATAAAGTCATTAGCTTCCATTTGTTCCATTCTAATTTCTTTTTTTTTTGTTTTTTGGCTAGGCAGTGGGGTTAAGTGACTTGCCCAGGGTCACACAGCTAGTAAGTGTTATGTGTCTGAGGCCAGTTCTGAACTCATGTCCTCCTGAATCCAGGGCCGGTGCTCTATCCACTGCACCACCTAGCTGCCCCCATGCTCCATTCTAATTTTTAAGAAATTATTTTCTTCAGTGAGTTTTTGGACCTCCTTTTCCATTTGGCCAATTCTGCTTTTTCAGTCATTTTTCTCCTCATTGGCTTTTTGGACCTCATTTACCATTTGATCTAGTCTATTTTTTACAGTGTTATTTTCTTCAGTATTTTTTTATGTCTCCTTCACCAAGCTGTTGATTCTTTTTTCATGTTTTCTTGCATCACTCTTATTTCTCTTCCCAATTTTTCCTCTGCCTCTCTTGCTTGATTTTCAAAATCCCTTTTGAGCTCCTCCATGGCTTAAGACCAATTTATATTTTTCTTGGAGACTTTGAATGTAGGAGTTTTGACTTTGTTGTCTTCTTCTGAGCGTGTGTTTTGAGCTTCCTTGTCACCATAGTCACTTTCAGTAGCCAGGAGTTTTTTCCTGTTGTTTGCTAATTTTCCCAGCCTGTTAGTTGACTTTTAACTCTTTGTTAAAGTAGGGCTCTGCTTCCAGGATGGAGAGCATACTGTTCCAGGCTTCAAGGGTTATGTGCAACTGTTTTCACAGATACTTCTAGGGACCTGTAAGTTCTTCAAGTTCTTCCAAGGTGTTATGATCAAAGGAGAGGTGTTGACTGCTCTCCTGGCCTGTGCTGTGGTCTGTGAGTGACCACAGGAACTCTTTTCTGCCCTGGAACTGTGAGGAGGGTCAGCTCTGGCCAAAAGCTCTGGTATGCTGGTGCTCCTCCTTGCCTTAGGACTGCTACCCAGAACTGTGACCCACAGCCAAGTATGGGCAAAGCAAGAGTCCTGCCTCAATGCTAGCAAAAACACCGCTGTAATCTCCTTCTGACCAGTTGTTTGACACTCCTCCTTTTCTTTCGGTTTGTTTTATTTCACAAAATGACTAATGTGAAATATGATGTATGTGACTGCACATCAGCTTTTACTATCTCAGGAAGGGAGAGAATTTGGAACTTAAAATTTTTTTTTTAAAGTTTTTAAAAATTGGTTTTCCATGTAATTGGGTGAAAAAAATAAAATTTTTTTTAAGTAATAAAGTTTTAAAAAATAAGTCTGTAGGTTTTAACCAAAATGCCAAAGGGATCCATGAAACCTGCTCTAAGACTAATTGCAGAAAATTTGCTAGACAGGGACTAATAGAATAAGTTCTTCATCAGGAGCTTCCTGTACTTAATGAAATCTTAAGTCTAGGGCCTATCCCTACCCCCATATTTACATTTCTGTGGACATGTTTCTTCCTAATAAAGGTAAACTCTTAAAAGCCTGGTATTTCATTTTTGTCTTTGTATCTTCAGTGCCTAGCATAGGCCCTTAAAGTACATGGGTACTTAAATGTTTGTTGAACAAATGATGATTATGGAGTTTGAGCTGAAGGAACCTCAGAGGCCATCTGCTCACATATATACATAAAGAAGAGTCCATTCCCTCCATAACACTGAGAGAACCTACTATCTTCCAAGGCAGCCCATTGAAATTTTGGACAACTCCAATGACTAGGAAGTTTTTCTGTACATCAAGCCTCAATTTACCTCATAGCAACTTCTATCCATTGCTTCCCAAACAAAGCAGAATAGTCTAATACTACTTTGTGATGGTACTTCAGATACTCAACTATCATGTTTCCCCTATATCTACTTGAGATGTAGTCTGACCAAAGCAAAGTACAACAGTACTGCATCACTTCTCTTGTCTTGGCATCTGTACATTTTTTTTGCAGTGTTGCCGAAGATAGCATTAGTTTTCTTTGGCTGCCATATGTATTACAATGGTGTTGACTCTTACTGAACTTGCAGTCCCCTAAAAATCGAAAATATTTTTCAGATGAACTATATGCTTCCCCATCTTATACCTGTTTCTTGAACCAAGTCCAGATCTTTACATTTATTCCTGCGAAGCGCTTCCAGGTTTGTTTGGTTTTTTTTTCATTTGGCTCCTGATCCTGTCACCCAAAGTGTTAACGCAGATTTGATCAGTGCACTGTTATGACCTTATCCCTTATTGATAATCATGTTAAACAGCACGGGGCTAAGTGCAGATCCCTGGAACATTCTATAGGAGACCTTCTACCACAGTGTCAAACTATTAATAACTGCTCTTCTGAACTGGCCAGTTAACACTTTGACTCTGTTTAACTGTACTGTTATCTAGCCTCCATCTCTATCTTTTCTGCAAGAATAGCATACTTTTTAAATTTCTTTTTTTTTGTAATCTGTTTTCTTTCACAACCTGAACTAATATGGAAATATGTTTTGCATGACTGCACATATATCACATTGCTTGCCTTCTCAATGAGGGGGGAAGGCAAGGAGGGAGGAAGGAATTTGGTACTCAAAATTTTAAAAAAATGTTTAAAACTTTTTATATGTAATTGGAAAAATGAAATAATTGAAAAAAGAATAAATAGCGTGAGAAATTTTGTCAGATACTTTGATGAGATCTAGATAAACTATATCCTGTAGCAATATGAGAAACATCTGTGATCTCTTTAGCAGAAAAACTTCAGTATAAAAATTTCTTCCACTGAAGCAGATTTCAGTCCGTGTAATTTAGTAGATAATTTCCTAGGGAGTTTTTTGAAGCACATAAAGCTTAAATGATTTGCCAAAGGTCACAAGACTAGTAAGTGTTAGGATTAAGATCCAGGTGTTTCTGGCTCCAGGCTTTGTTAAAAAGAAATGACTTGGCTTTTTTTTAATTACTTTTTTTTTTACAGTGTTGTCATTTCCCAATTTTCCTTTTCTACATAGATCTTTCTCTTGTAATAAAGAAGCATAGTCAAATAAGATAAATCGGCCATGCCTGACAACATAAGTCTCATTTCATATTTTGTATCTCTCTACTGAGAATAGGCTGTATGTTTCATCATTCCTATTAACTGCATTGATCAGAGGTTCCAGTATCTTTTAGTCTTGTTCATCTTGTTGTCATTACTGTGTGTGTTCTCTTTGTACTGCTTACTTTATTTTTTCTTCATTAGTTTATGAAAGTTTCTCTGACTTTTTTATTTTTGTTTTTTCTTTTGATGCAGTAATATTCCATTACATTCATATACTACAGATTGTTCAGCCATTCCCCATAACAAGTATAACTATTAATTTGTGTGTGTGTGTGTGTGTGTTTGTAATGTGTATATATTGCCTGTTACCAATGGTCATGTTAGCTTTTTTGTCTGCTTCCTTTTCTAAATGATTACTAACCATGCCTTTAATGATACATTGACCTCCAGTAACAGACTCCATTCTCTTCCTTTTATTCAGAATTGGAACACTGTCCTTTCTCAATCCTATGGTGTACTGTTCTCAGTCTCCATGATCATTCAGACATCATCACCAGCAATGGTTCACCAATCATATCTTCAGTTCTTTCAGCACCCTGGTACAAACAGCAAGATACTCTCACCATCTCCCCACTTGAATATTACTTCCTTATCAAGTATTTTTGTTCTGCCCTTTCTAGTTCAAAAACCATTCTCCTTGGCACCAAAAACAGAAACAAAGCAAAAATTGATCAAGTTTGCCTTCTTCAAGATCTATTATCACTGTTTCTTCTACCAAAGTAGCATTCCTATCCCCTTGTTTGGTCCTCCTCTTTTCTCCAGAAAAAGACCAAAAAAACTCCCAACATTGTTGCCCTTAGCTTTCTGCATCAGCCTTGACTCTTTCTGAGCTTTTAGCACCACTAACACCATTTTTACAGACTGGATCATGTTTTTATATGCATTTTCCATTACCTATCCTTGTTTTCTATAGATATCTTTTAAAAAATAAGTAAGTTAATTAGTTCACTAGTCATCAACAGCAGTCTCTTTGGTCAGCCTTCCCTTATTCTTCCTCCTTGGGGTTTTGAATTTTAGAGTTTGATTCTTAAGCGTTTCCTGTCCCTCATAGGTCGTGACGCCTTATATATAAGTTGATCCATGGGATTCTGTCTCTTTTCTCTGAATCTTTTGAAATTTGTTCTCCCAAAGTCCAAGATTCATGTCAGACTTTGCCCAAATTTCTTCTTGCCTTATTAACTAACTAGAGTATTCCAATTACCAGCTTTTACTCTGGACTTAACCTTTGTTTTCTTTCTCTGCATAGGATGGACAGAATGACAGAAGATGCCCTTCGCCTGAATCTGCTGAAGCGAAGCCTGGACCAGGCAGATGAACGTGATGATGTCCTGGCAAAGAGACTCAAGATGGAAGGACATGAGGCTATGGAGCGATTAAAAATGTTAGCACTGCTCAAAAGGAAGGACCTGGCAGGCATTGAGATGCCCCATGAGTTACCTACTAAACAAGATGGTGGTGGCGGTGGCAAGGGCTATGAGGAAAAACTTAATGGGAACCTGAGGCCGCATGGAGATAACAGGACTGCTGGACGGCCAGGCAAGGAGAACATCAATGATGAGCCTGTGGACATGAGTGCTAGGAGAAGGTAGGGCTCAACCTAACTTTTTCTAGCAAAGAGTTTATCATATGAGAGAAGGCATTACAAAAAGTGTATTTCAAAGAGAAAGAAGGCTGTTCTGTCACTCCAGTCAAGGCAGGAATTTTTCTGTTATTTGCTTAGCCAGCTATGGGATAGAGGGAGAAAATGTATATTACTTACACCTGTACATGAAGCTCCCTCATCCTCCAAATAAGTTTTAAAGCAGTTCCCTCATTCTGTAGCTAATAGGACTGAGATGTTTATACATCTAGGCCTCTCTCAATTCGACCCTTGTTTAGTGACCAGAACAAAGGCACTGAAGTCTTTGAGTTACTCCTAAACACCTGTAGCCCAGTGCTAATTTGTAAGGCTTTCTTTTCAGATTTCCAAACTAGGGCTATGATTTATTGAGCCAGAGAATTTAGCTAAAGTGAAATCTTCACCTTAGATTGAGTCAGTTTTAAATTGTGCATGTAGTATTCTGCCTGCACACCAAGAGGGACAAGACCTAGTTTTTCTTAGGCCTTCTGGGAAGTTGTCTTTATGAGCTAATTTCCTCCCTTCCTCTAGCTTTTTCTTGTCTGGTCACTCAAGTAAGAGTATAAGAAAGAATAGAGTGTACACTAGGAGCTTTGGGCTGTGATTAGAGGGTAAAGGGATTGGCATAAGGAAGAGGCTGGTTTAGTAGTAGTAGTAAGTTACTCGGTCATAGTGCTGTCTTACAGGAACACTAGCTTGGTGAAGCCCACTGTCAAAACAGAAGTAGAGGAAAGGTACATGTTATACTAGATGGCCTCTTTAGGCCTTCCCAACTCTGAAACTTAGAAATCTGAAAGCAGGAGAAGAGGTATTTGCAGTATAACCATTTCCTAGTTATCTTCGTCTCTTCATCATCAAGTAGGAAAATTATACGGCTGTGACTTCTGTTCAGAAAAGCCTTCTTGGATGTAGAGAGTACCTAATGTCTCTCATTCTCCTTAGAATTTAGGGGGAAATAGCAGTTGTATCTGCTTAGTTTCTCTCACTTTAGAATTAGTAACTTCCTAACTTCAACATCTGCCAGTCTGAGTCACAGGAGATGACAGCAGAGAGTAAAAGCCTTGATGACCTTCTCCATTGAGTGGGACTTTGGGCTTAAGACAGAAACCTTCAAAGGCTCTGTGTGCTTGGGGAGGAAACAAAATAGCTGCTCATCTTGCTGGAAGATTGACGGAAGATGCTAGAACCCTAACTCAAAAGGCTGGGGGAAAAAAAAGCTCAGCAGGGAGATGACATATTGGTTAGCCAGTCCCATGTTTATTTGCTTTATCCATTGCCCCACTGCATTTGAAGTTGTTCCTCAAACATGACTTTCTAGTGCGTCCTGGCTAAACCCAAAGTTTCTAACTAATCCTCTGTGTACTGGATTTGGAGTCAGGAAATGCCTGCGTTAAAATCTTGCCTGACACACTACATGTGTAAGTCACTTAAGCTCTTTGTGTCTCAGTTGCCTCATCTATAAAATGGAGATAATATAGCACTTATCCTCCCAGGGTTGTTGCGAGAATCAATAAGATGATATATGTAAAGTACTTTATAAACCTTAAAGCACTAGATAAATGTTAGTTATTAGTTACCACAGTTATGGATAGTGTCTCTTCCTAGTTTAGTGCTAGGTCACCTGCCATTCAGCCATTGTGACAGTTTTGCTACAGAACATCATCATGCCTCAATATTAACTGTGCAGGATAATTTTTATGGTGTATGTATTCAACCAAAGACAGAGCTGCTTGGCTCAAGAGGTAAATACCAATGAATCAAACAGAATCCATGGGGCAAACCGTCCAAACCTCAAAATGGTTTGTCTACATTAGTTTGTTGGTAAGAAGAGATAAAAGATAAATCAAATAGAAAAACAAATTCCTCTTAAGATCTGTCACCCACCTTGACATCTGTCTAGTTGTAGCTAGTCCTGTGTCCTCATCCTCAGTTTGCTGTCCTTGCTTGGTGATTTCCTAAACATCTCTGCACTTTCCTCTTTTGCTGTAGTGTTATCTCTTCGGTAGATCTTGGCTAATACAGACAAGTGAATATACAGATAGGTTGAAGTCCTGTTCCACATGTCATAAGAGCAGTGTTCAAAGGCTGTTTTTGTCGACCCTGCTAATGAAAAGAGAAGCCCTAATGATAGTGCCACCCTCAGGACTAGAATGTTTTAGAGTAAGGCTAAAGAACATACATATATTCCATACCTACCAGCTAGGTGACACAGTGGTCTGGGCCGGGAATCAGGAAGACCTGGGTTAAAAAAACAGCTTTAAAGACTTAATAGCTGTGTGACCTTGGGCAAGTCACTTAACCACTGTCTGCCTCACTTTCCTTAACTCTAAAATGGGAATTATAATAGCACTGCCTCCCAGGTTTGTTGTGAAAATCAAATGAGTTAGCACAGTGAATATAACAGTGAACATAACAGGTGTTTAATAAATACTTACTCCTTCCCTCTTTACTATTTCTTGAATTGGAAACCTCAAGGAAGATAAAGCCTAGGAGAATGTGTTGTGTTTTGTTTTGTTTTGTTTTTGTGGGGAGAATGGAGTTCTAGAATATAGCTTTGTGTGAAATCTGGGTACTTAAGGCTTTTATAGCCCTCTGTTACTCCTAAGGCTTATTTCAGGCAATGGGCATTTTCCAGTATCATGGAGAAACAGGATTCTCCAGATACAGCGCTACTAAGTACATGGTGAATGTAGAAAGTTTAAAATGGAGTCATCTAAGTTCCAAATAAGTCTGTCCCAACACTGAATAGGAGAGACTTTAGCCTGGAATTAAAAGCTTTGCCTAGGTAGGTTCTTTCCAAGGGAAGAGGAAGATCCTTTATATAACCTTTGGCAAAGAATTCAGATTTCTACATGTTCATGATTGGGACTTCTACCCTCCTCAGGAGACTACAAGCTTTATTAGTCTGATAACTTATACATTGTCCTCAGTGATTCCTTAGGTTCTGGCAGTTATAGTATCTTCTTTGGATTCCCTGAGCTCTTTTTCTCTTGTGTGGCAGAACGGATCTCCGGCTGTCTCTGAATTTGTCGTGAGAGCTTGTTTCTGAGCTGCTTTTTATATCACAGTCCAGTCAGCATCCATTTCTTTTGACTGCCCTGTTTTCTTCCTTTGCCTCTTAGAGGTGTGGTCTAGACAGTCTCTAACATTCTAGAGTTATGAAGAAAACTTCTAAAATATTCTTAGGTATTAATTATAGTTGTCTGGTATCTGTGTTAGGCTTCCTTCACATGTTACTGGTTGGGGAACTAGGACCTATTGCCACAGCCACTTCCTAATTAGCTATTATTTCCTGTAATAGTTTCTTTAAGGCCAATTTACCCTAGAATTAAGGTTTGGGAAAACTATTTGAAAGAATTTTACTTACAACTCATGTGGTAAAAGCACTTATCTCCTTTTCCCACTTCTAAAGCCAAGTAAATAGGAGTGTTAAAATGGAAGAGGCCTTTGGTATGGTGAGAAAGATATTTCAGCTAAGGCTCTGCCATCACCTGTACTGCAGGTAGCTGGCCTCATTTTACCTCTTAGTGGTTTCAGTTTCCTGGTACTTGGTTGTCACTACTTTCTTCTAGGTGGTGCAAGATAGACAACCCCTCACATCAAAACTCCCTTGGGTTTCTCCATTCAGTGCTGATGAGAGATTTTTCAGCTTCCCTGTGAGCCTTCATTGTTGGGGGTACCTTGATCTTCAACCCCATGTCCTTTTTCTTGTCTTGTTTTATACAGTGAGCCAGACCGGGGACGGCTGACTCCCTCCCCTGACATCATTGTCCTTTCTGACAATGAGGCCTCCAGTCCTCGTTCCAGTTCCAGAATGGAAGAGAGACTGAAAGCAGCCAATTTGGAGATGTTTAAGGTAAAAAACACTTCTTTCCACATTCCTTTCTTTCTTTTTTCCCACTTTTTATCAGGTATCCTTGGACATCTGTTAAAATCTAGCAATAATTTTGACTGTTATTGGACTAGGAGGTGCGTCCAAAATGCTACTGACTAGTGTAGACTGTAGATGATAAAGCACAGTGTCGCTGTTAACCTTTTACTTTTTCCTTTTTAAATATGCTTTTTCCCCTGAGTTAGTATTCTAGTTAATGAACTGGAGATACAGTGGGCAAAAGCTTCAAAGTAAAGTGAGTCTGAGTTGTTAGCCAGGGAAGGGAGTCTATGATCATACTACCAGGACTGATGGTTTCCACCTTTCCTCAGGGGAAAGGTATTGAGGAGCGGCAGCAGCTTATCAAGCAGCTGAGAGATGAGCTACGTCTAGAGGAAGCCAGACTAGTACTGTTGAAGAAACTAAGGCAGAGTCAGCTACAGAAGGAGAATGTGGTTCAGAAGGTAATTTACTCTTTGGGGAAAGGGACTGGGGCATGGCTAAGAGAGAAAAGTTTGTTTATTGGGAAGGGGTGGTAGAGCAGTGTGGTACTCTTGAAAGAACAATAGTTTCTGCCTAAGTCAGGATATGGGTTCAAGTCCTCACTCTGCCACTTAGCACTGGTGTGAGTGACCCTGGGCAGCTCTTACAGCTTCTCTGGGCATCAGCTGTAGATTGAGAGAATTAAACTAGATGATCTCTCCAAGGTCTTTCTAAGTTCATGATTTTAAGGTGCATTGTTTACTCTGGTAGAGCTTATAGTATATTCACTCATTCTTTGTCCTGTGATCTCTAGTATCTGCAGTTCATTGAGGCAACTGGATGACATACTGGTTAAAGTGCTGGGGCTGGAATTAGGAATATCTGAGTTCAAATCCAGCCTCAGACAGTTACTAGCTGTATGACCTTTGGCATGTTACTTAACCGCTATCTACCTCAGTTTCTGCAGCTGTTAAATGGAGATCATAGTAGCACCTACCTCCCAGGTTGTTGTGAGGATCAAATGAGATATTCATAAGCACATAGTAAGTGCTTAATAAATTCTTGTTTCCTTCCTTCCTTCCAAAGATTTAGATTCCATCTGAGCCCTCAACTGGGTGAACCTTGGTCTATCTCTCAGTCAGTAATGATGATCATTTTAGTGCCAGAAAAAGCACCAGGTAACCAACTGTCTATCTCTCTAGGTCCTGGCCATCTCTAAATATGTGTTTTCTTTTCTTTTCTTTTAGACCCCAGTTGTGCAAAATGCAGCATCAATTGTCCAGCCATCTCCTGCCCATGTAGGACAGCAGGGCCTGTCCAAGCTCCCTTCCAGGCCTGGTGCTCAGGGAGTGGAGCCCCAAAACCTGAGAACATTGCAGGTATAAGGGTTTAGCAGCATATTTGGATCCAAAGGACCAAGTCCCATCAGAAGTTACAGACATGTGAAAGGATTAGGGGAGGAACCTGACCAGATTGGAACATTGCCATAATGGAAAGTTCTATTGATGCCATTAGATTTATATAGGAATAGGGCCAGTGAGCTGTGTGACCCTGGGCAGGTCACTTAACCCCAATTGCCTCAACAAAAAAAGCAAAAAAAAAAAAAAAGAAAAAGAAATAGGGCCAGTAAGTAAGTAAGTAAGCCCTTGCAGGGCTTGTTCTTTACTAGACTATAGGACTTTCAGGCTAGCTGTTCCCTAAATGGGGTAGGACAATCTTATGTTGACCAGGTCAAACAAATTCCCATGATGCCAAGGCAAGATTTTCAAATGTGATGTGTCACACTATTTCCCTCAGAAAAATGTAGAAAAAATATCTAGTTGGTATAACCTAATGGTACCTATCCCAAGCTTTCCTTCAGCTATTCCTAAGGAATATTTTATGGGAGGCTTCCTGTCTCAAACCCCTAAAGTTCTGATTCATTTCTTTCATTTTTCCTCTTTTAGGGTCACAGTGTCATCCGCTCAGCCACCAACACAACCCTTCCACACATGCTGATGTCACAGCGAGTTATTGCACCAAACCCTGCTCAACTGCAGGGCCAGCGAGGGCCACCCAAACCTGGCCTCGTACGTACCACCACACCCAACATGAACCCCGCCATCAACTACCAGCCGGTAAGAGTATTACACAGGACAGGTGGAGATCCTATTATCCATGGTGGCTAAGGAGTAGACTTTACATTTTTATAAACAAGAGATAATTTGGACTGAACTTGGAGAACATTGCAGAAAAGACTTGAGGGTTCAGCTATAGTTTTTGATAGTGAGGTAGATGCCAGTTAGGAAGAAAAGAGAAGAGACGGTTTGAGGAATTAGTAGCCCACCCAGCAAAGCCTTGAGGTAAACCTTCCTGAGAAGTCTAGGGAAGTAGTATCTAGATATCTGACCTGAGGAAGTAGACATTCTTTTTCCTAGAAATTTTTTTCTGCATAGTCCTTTAAGCAGATCTGGTACCAACTTTAGCCCATAGACGTTATCATTCTTCCATTTTCCTTGGGCCCAATGTAGTTACTGATAAGACTATGCCGTAGTAAGAAAATATCCTCTGCCAGGGAATAATAACAGTAAGAACTGGAATTCCTTTCTTCTGTCACTGATCTTTCTTCTTATTCCATTCTAGCAGTCAAGTTCTTCTGTCCCTTGCCAGCGCACAACATCCTCTGCCATCTATATGAACCTTGCCTCTCACATCCAGCCAGGGACTGTTAACAGAGTGTCTTCACCACTCCCCAGTCCCAGTGCCATGACTGATGCAGCCAATTCACAGGCAGCAGCTAAGTTGGCCCTTCGTAAGCAGCTGGAAAAGACACTGCTGGAGATCCCACCCCCTAAGCCTCCTGCCCCTCTGCTCCACTTCCTGCCCAGTGCAGCCAACAGCGAGTTCATCTACATGGTGGGCTTGGAGGAGGTGGTACAGAGTGTCATTGACAGCCAAGGTAAGGTCATCAGACTTCCCCATTCCCTCTGTAGGAAACTTCCAAGTCTGACAGTTTTATATTGGAATGTGTGTCAGGGGTGAGCAAACTGTGGTTTAGTGTATGTTAAGAACCTTTTCTCCCTCCTATGGGTAAAGGCCTACTGTGTGCCAGGCTTTATAGATATTATTTCATTTGATTCTCAAAACAACCCTGTGTGGTAGATACTGTTATTAGCCCCATTTTACAGTTGAGGAAACTGAAGTTAAATGACTTTCTCAAGACAACAGAGCTAGATCAGGAGCTAGGTTTGAACTCAAGTCTTCTGACTCCAGGCCCAGTACTTTACCCCCTGTACTACCTAATTGCCTCAAAATATAACACTCTACTACACAGAGATGTGAAGGGGAAGAGAACACACGTATATTAAGCATCTACTATATGTTAGGCACTGTGCTAATCACTTTACAAATATTTCATTTGATCCATTTGAATGAGGTAATTTATCATCTTCAAAGATCATTGATATAAGTCTATGCCTATTTTAAGTATTTTTATTCTGTTTATGTGTGTATTCTACATGTATCTTTCAAGTTAGTAAACATTATGAAAGCAGCAACTTAGATCTACATGGTTTTTTTTATTAAATGCACATAAGTACCTACGCATTTCAGCGCTTAGAAACTGTTTTTTGATGTTAATTTTGTGTGACAGTGTGTTTAGTGCTATGTCAAAAGGGAATTACAGACATAAAATGACTCTGAGGGAGGGTATCTAGAGGTGTTCTGCATAGCTGGGAAATCCACACTGGAATTCAATAGTATTTATATGTAATTCTTATTTATTTATTTAATTTTATTTTTTGGTGAGGCAGTTGGGGTCCAGTGACTTACCCAGAGTCACACAGCTAGTGAGTGTTACGTTTCTGAGGCTGGATTTGAACTCAGGTCCTCCTGACTCCAGGGCAAGTGCTCTATCCACTGTGCCACCCAGTTGTCCCCATTTATACGTAATTTGTAAAAAACGGCTTGTTGGAGGGGCAGCTAGGTGGCATAGTGGATAAAGCAGGCTCTGGGGTTAGGAGGACCTGAGTTCAAATCCAGCCTCAGACACTTAGTTGCTTTGTGACCCTAAGCAAGTCACTTAAACCCAAATGCCTTACACACAGAAAAAAAAGGATCATTGGGATATAGATGATCAGGAACGAAATTCACTGACCAAAATTTGGGCTATGAGCCAAAGTACTCACCTTGTTAAATGGGTTTCATTTAACTCCCACTGATACAGAAGCTTCTTTTCTTTGCCTATGCCAGAATTTAAATACTGCTGGGAATTAATCAATAAGCATTTCATTAAGCACCTTTTATGCCAAGCACTGTACTAGGTGCTGAGAATACCAAGAAAAAATCAGTGTCTGCCCTCAGCAAATTTAAATTCTATCGGGGAGACATGTTTGTAAATACACTTATGATAAATTTGGGTGGGAGGAAAGGGAGAGGAGGACCAGGAAAGGCTTCATGAAAAATATATGTCTAAGCAAGATTTTGAAGAAAATGAGGGATTCTAAAAGTTAGGGTGAAGTAAGAAAGAGCACATTCCAAGCATCGAAGGACAACCAGTGCAAAGGCAAGGAGATGGGAAATTGAATGCTATATATGAGAAATGGCAAGAAAGTCCGTTTGGCTGGACCATAGAGTTTAGGAAGGAGTAGTATATAAGGTGGGAAAGGTAAGTTGGAGCTAGGTTGGGAAGGGTTTTAGAAGTTAGAGAAGTTTGTGTTTGATCTAGAGGCAAGAGGGAACAAGTAGAGCTTCTTAAGCAAAGGAGTGATACGGTCATACTTAAACTTTAATAATATTAACTTGGCAATGATATGGAGGCAAGGAAAGAAGGTGGTTGCAAGGAGACCAGTTAGAAAGGTTTATAATAGTCCAGGTGAGAAATGAACTCCAAATGAGTTCCTGAACTAAAATGGTATCCATGTAAGTAGAGAGAAATGTTTGGATGTGAGAAGTATTATGGGAAATAACAGTTTGATGGGAACATAAAGAGCAAGATGGTAAGGAGAATGGGTCACCCTACTTACCATTTTCCTTGGTGCCATCTAGGCAAAGGTTGTGCCTCACTTCTGCGGGTGGAGCCATTTGTATGTGCTCAGTGCCGCACAGACTTTACCCCACACTGGAAGCAAGAGAAGAATGGCAAGATTCTGTGTGAGCAGTGCATGACCTCCAACCAGAAGAAGGCCCTAAAGGCTGAGCATACTAACCGGTTGAAGAATGCCTTTGTCAAAGCCCTACAGCAGGAACAGGTAAGTGACCTTCTCTAGTTCAGAAACTTAGAATGCCCAGGGTGTTAAACACAAATTTTGGGGGGAGTAGGGGTGTAACTCCAGTAGTTTGGAATCATTCATGTTTTCCTCACAGCTGTCAGAGAAGCATACCTCATAATCTAAAGTTTTGGGGAGGGGGAGTTGGAATTTTTTTTGGGTGGGAATGCCTCTTCATCTTCCCCAGCCCCATTTGATCTAAATGTTTCTGACTGTGAGGTAGTAATGGGAAATAGAGTTTGGAGCTTGGAAGGCTTTCAGTTCTTTGACCTTGGCTCTCCTTGTAGCCTATATAAGCCCCTTCTGTTGTCTGCTTCATTTTCTTCTTTGGGAGAGATTTCCATATTTTTCTTCACGATGAAGAAAAATGGGACATATGCCTTGTACCATAAATGTTTTTCTTCAAGAGAAGTGGTCATTTATAGTCAGCAGTGGAGGGAGGAATGATAGGGGAAAAGCTGGTCTTAAACCAAATGGTCTTTAGAGAGATAAGCGTATCTTAAAATTGTGGAAAACATTTTAGGCTCAATTCAAGGCCAGTGAGTTCAGTATGTCATAGAGTTTGGAATTATGCTTCCTTTTCCACCTTTATTATTCAGAATTCAGTGAATGAATGTCAGGAAGACCAAGGAAAATAAACAGTATCAGAGACAAAGCCTTCCTCTTTTGTCCCCTTTCTTTCTCCAGACTTTCTCTTATTTTGTATAGCTGGGGCCCAGTTCACAGGTTTACCCCAAAATGAGACCGTAGCAAAGGGAGAAGTGAAAAATAATTTCTTACTGACTCACCAGCTCTAATTACACCTGCCAGCCCCATCCCTACTGCCCAGTTTCCAGCAGCTATCTGCTCAAAGCAGCACCAAATGAGAAAAGGACCTGTGGTCAGGCAGCGCAGCAAGCTAGCCATTCTCTTCCCCAGTTGAGTTCTTCTGAGAAGAGGGAGTTGAATGTACCCAGTATGCAAGATCCTTTAGCTTGGTCTTTGATGTGGCTCTTTTAAGGGAAGGGCAGCAAATTCCTGAGTTTCCTAGTTAGGAGACTGAGTATGTTCTCTTAAGTTGATGTGTTGGCTCCTGGCAGGAAATTGAACAGCGACTACAGCAGCAGGCAGCCCTCTCCCCTACTACGGCTCCAGCTGTGTCCAGTGTCAGTAAGCAAGAGACCATCATGAGACACCATACGCTCCGGCAGGTGAGAATCTTATTTTTCTTGTCATGTGACCCTCTGTTTTCCCATACTGCCTATCCACCCCCCCACCCCCCTTCTGTTTGCTACCTACGTACCACACCTGTATTGCAGAATTGACAACTGAAGATTCCCAGCTGTGACCTTATTCTTAATTCCTAGCAAAGATGGAAACAACCTTACATCTTCTCTTGCCAGAGAGCTTGGGCATTCAGTTACCTATTTCCCTTAGTAGTATGCATTCTTGGCTTATGACTGCACCATTAACACCACAGCAGGATCAGGGGATGAGATATTTATCCTTACTCTTGAACTTAGTCTGTTGCTTGGGAAGGTAGTCTTCATCCATGATCTTGACTGCCCCTTACCATCTGTTCATCTTATCATCCAGTCATCTGTTGTCTCCTCATCCCCACAGGCTCCACAGCCCCAGAGTACTCTCCAGCGTGGCATCCCCACATCTGCCCGCTCCATGCTTTCCAATTTTGCACAGGCACCCCAGCTGTCTGTGGCAGGAGGGCTCCTTGGCATGCCAGGTAAGGGAAAGAAAAAAGAGGTATTATTTGGGATCTGCCCAAGGCTTTGTCTGGGGAGCACCTAATGCCATAGGATCTAGATAGCCCCTGTGAGAAAAATTTTCCCTTTTGTGCCTGCTGCTCCCTATTAAAGCACAGATGCCCCTTTGATATTACTCTAGAGGTCATATGGGCAAGACAGGGTATGTGAGAAACTGGATGGCTCAGTGATACTCCCCACAATCCAAGACCAAAAATCAAGATAGAACTGACCAATATCCATATCCTTGTGATGTAGCTCTCATCCTCTTTTTCCCCTGTGCCCCTGCCCTCCTAAATAAGGCTTTTCAGCCTCTTTCACTACCAGTTTCCCAAGTAACTATCCCATTGTTTCTAGGACATTGCTCACTCTCCCAAGATAAAATTTTAAGAAGTTTTTTCTTCCTCCAGAGTCATTGCACCTAAAGGGGAAGGTTGTTACTAAGATAAAGCTGGACAAGTCTAGACTGGCAGCAGGCAAAGCAACATGAGACCTTTCTACCTGGGCATGGGGGAGGAGGGGAGAGGTGGGAGAGGAGGTGCTCCTTCATCCTTTAACACCTGTCCTCCTTTTGTCTCCCGGGTTTAGGTGTTAATATTGCTTACTTGAACACTGGCATCGGGGGACACAAAGCACCCAGCCTGGCAGACCGACAGCGGGAGTACCTTTTAGACATGATCCCCCCTCGGTCTATATCGCAGTCCATCAGTGGACAGAAATAACGCCTATTCCACCTGCCCTGCCCCAACCCTGAACCCTCTGTTCCCTCCCTCTCTCCCTTTGCCCCCAACTTCCGTCGCATGCAGTGCCTGTACTGGTGCCTACCATACACGGAAAACAAAACAAAACAAAAAAAAACAGAAGACAAAAAAAAGAAACCAACAAGAAAACACATACTCATGCCCCTCCCCGCCACCTCCCCTCTTTCCACACTGCAGCGATCTGTTCCTCTGCCGCTCTTTTCTTCTCTCTTCAGTTTTCTATAATAGTGAGAGGTGGATCTGCACCCCACTAGAGGTCAGAGTGAGGTCCCAGGGAGAATCTGTGCCCTCTGACATATGTTTCTGAAGCTTGTTTTTATGCTATAATTATTATTATTTTTAATGATGTCTTGTGTCCTCCCTTTTTGTTCAATGGACGGTTAAACCCTTTTCTTTCTCCTTTTTTTTCTTTCTATTTTTAACAAAGGTATCCACTTAAGTGATAGGAGCATTGCAGTGGTTTTCTTCATGGGGGGTGGGGCTCCAGCCAAAAGGTATAAGGTGACTAAGGCTGGTTAGGGGGTGAATACGTTTAATCAGTGGAGTTTACTGGCAACACAAGAGGAAGAATGGCACCCCCAGGCTCTGAGGCATAGGATTTCTTAGGGGAAAGGGGAACATTGTAGCGGGGCTTTGGGAATGAGGGTCAGGTGTTTTAGAAGGGAGAAGCTTTAAAACACAGCACCCATAGTACTTACCCATGGTACTAGCGAGGGTGGAAAAGCATGGGCATGATTTTAAACTAGGGAGGACTGTTAGCAGGTTGTGGCCCCTGAACAACAAGAACTGGGAATAAGGATAATCTTTGACTCCATTGGAAACATAGGAGTCTGTTTGAGGTTAGGTGGCCCAATTTCAGTCCAGTAAAGTCATCCTAACCTGTCCCTTCTGCCTGTAGCGCCAGCCACACTAAAGGTGAAAGGCATTACCTGACCCCCAAGCAGAATTTGACTGGGGGACCTGGAAGTTGGAATGGGAGTGAGTAAATTGGGAAAGGGGAGGAATAGTCGTGGAGGAAGAAAGAACAGAAGGGGTTTTCTCCATGAAGGTAAGGTTGGTTCACTTTGCGGTCTGGCTTCTCTCCCTTTTACCTCCTGAACAGAGAGGGTAAAGGAAGGAAAGGTTTCCTACCCAGGTGGGAGACCCATCCTGACCATACCCTTGGCAAATTTGTTATTGCACCAAGCCAAATGACTCACTTCAAAACCAGCTTCAGAGGCTGCTTCTGAGATCTAAAGTTGGTTTTTAAAGTATTTTCAGAATTTTAATAGTTTTGTTTTTGTTTTTGTTTTGTTTGGGAATCGCTACTAATGTAGAAAATGAATTGAATTGTGCAATGTCATTCTGGGAATGGGGGGAGGAATTAGCACCCAGTCTGCCCACCTTTTGGATTGAGGGGGTAGGGAAGGTGCCAGGCTTTCTTTGAGGTGTGCTGCCCTCACACACACCCTTCTAGCTCTAATAAACTTCCAGAAGTCCCCTAAATATAGCATGCCCTAAAGAAAGGCATGGGGAAGGAGTGTGAGGTCCTGACCCTGCTCCCATAACCAGCCAGGATGCCCCCCTCCCCCCGAAAAAAAAGGCACTTTTAAAAATTAATGAAAGAAAGAAAAGACTAAACATTCCCTCAAAAGGTTTTTGGTGTTTGGAATAGGGATAAAGGAGCTGGGACCAGGCTTTGGTCTTCTACCCACTCCTGACACCCCTGTGCCATTTCGGGTGATTGTACTGGCCCCACGGGCCTTCCCCAGTTTTTTTTCTTCCTCCCTTCTCCCCAAAATCCATTGAGCACTTAATAGAGGGGCAAAGATGCAGCCTGTGTCTAGACTCCCTGGTGGTGAAAGGATCTGGAAGCTAGAAGCTAGTAACCGGTAGTGATGGGGTTGTTGTTGCGAGTGTTGTCTGATGGGGTGTGTGGTGCCCCCTGACTGTAAATGGGGTGGGGGTGGGGGGAATAGTGTTGGGTGGGCTCTGGGATTATTTTAAAATTCTATATATATATATAAATATATATTCTTACATCTTTTCTTTGCTCTCTGTGCTTTGAAAGCACTGGATGAATAGTTTGGTTTTGTTTTTCTCTCTCTTCCACAAAATTGGAAGGTGTTTTTTTTTAATGTTTTTCTTATGTCATCTTGCCATGTGGCATGTCTCTCTAGCCTCTCCTTCCCCTCTCCACCTTCTACCCTGACACAAACACATGATAAAGTGCCATTTCTGTCATGTATCCAACTCCCCCAGCCCAGAGGTACAAGGTGCCCAGGTATGTCATTTGAGATTAAAAGTAAGGAAAAGAATGTGCAATACCATGTGGCTGGTGGCAATCCCAGCCTTGAGTTTAGTTCCCTACCGTAGGAACCAGCTACCAATATGTTGGCCTTGGAAATGGGTGTATAAGGTGATTTTGCATGAAGGCAGACCTGTAGTCTAGTACCTACTTCCAGGGAGAGGGAAATGATGTGATGTGGTGGAGGGAGAAATGCAGCATGTCTTCCCTACTTTGCTCTTCTCTCTTCTTCAAGTTCAAGCTACAGATGCTGCTTGTTTATCATAGAGATCTGTGTTCCTCTGCTTATTGGCTGAGGCTTGGTTCTTGTTCCACTGGTCCCCACTTCCCTCCCTATCCCATCCCTTCAGAGGTTAGTGTTGGCTAGATTGGCCAATATGGTCTTCTGAATCATGGTAAAGTGTTAGCCCTCCATCTTTCCTCCCTTCCTTTTCCTCCCACATTCTCCCTTTCATCACTGATTTCTTTTGTCTCTACTTGCCCCTTCCAAGATCCCTTGTAATTTCCCATCACCACATCTTCTAAGTCACAAGTATCTATCTGAGATCCCCTGTGGCACTGGACTATGTGGACACTGAGCTGAGGTCCTTCAGGTAGGGCATCACTTATCTTAAGGAAGGAAGAAAATACCTCTTACTCTGGGAGTCTTCCTTTAATTCTGAAGCCTGGAGCTCAATATGGAGGTAGCATGAGGGGTGCACCAGTCCTGCATGGCTTCTCCTCACACTAAACTCCAGAGGTGTTTGGGGGAAACTGGGTCCAGCAGGCTATTGGCAGCGCCTGCTCCCTAGAAGCTAGAGATGGATTTGGGGCAAAAGGCCTTTGATGGAAAGTAAAAAGTGTGAACTGAGGTCCCATTTTTATTTTGTCATTGACCATAGCATCCAGTCCCCCACCTGTCCCTGGAATAAGTATTTTTCCACATTTTGGATGTAATGTATGGTAGAAATTTCTCTATCCTCTTTTCCCTCTTCTCTGTTTTGCTCTTTTATTCTCTTTTCCTTTCTCTTTTCTTTTTTCTTCTTTCCCTTCTTTCACCTCCTATTTTTCTCAACCTTTTTTTTTTTAAAGATGCAGATAAGTGTTTTCCTGCTTTGGTTTCCTTTCCTTTCCCTTTTTAAAGCAATTAGCTGTAGAACTGCTTTGTAAAGATGCTTCTTGATATTTTACTTTTGATCCCTCTTTCCCATCCTCCCCAATCCTAAAAGCATAACCCTTCTCCCCTCCCCACTCCTACCCTCTTCCCCAAGACCAGGTTCCCTCTCCCAATGAGATCTTCATTAGCTTATGATATTTGCTGCCGAGATGTTATAACAAGGACTCATTCGTGTATATAAGCTATTTCTTGATCCATTTAAAAAGGAAGAATTGTACATTGTGTAGAAAAAAAAACATGAAAAAAGTGGAAAAAAAAAAGCCCTAGCCATGGATATTGTGAAACTGTGTTACGTCATTTTGTACTGTGCCCGTTTGTGTATGATCCGTGCAAAAGGGTTTCTGGGGGTTAGGAGGCAGGGCTGTGGATGATGGGGCAAGGGGATAGGCCAGTTTGGCAGCTGGCTCCCCTGAATCCCCACCCCGCTTTGGAGATGCCCCCCCTCCCCCCCCAACTGTGCCTTGCCTCCCCACCCTGGAGCAGCCCCTCCAGGTCACCAGCACTGCCTTGGCAGAGCCCTCCCCCCACCCCAGCTGCCCCACCTCCTTTCCCAGCATTAGGTTGACACTCTGGGGGAAGTGGGGGATGCTGGGGGACTGGGAGGTAGCTGAGGAACGGAACAGTTCCCAGGGGGCATTGAAACCAAGTATTATGAACTGTAATTGTATTTGCACTGTTTTTTTTTTCCTCTGATTGCATCAGCATATATACAATATACCTACTATATAACAAACCACAGTGTCAGATTTTCTTACACCAGAGATCTCTCCCACACCCTACACCCTAAAAACATTATCCAGAGGAAAGAACCTGGGCTAATTATCTTATGAAAGTTGGTAGGGGAGGAAATGTGGGCTAAGTAGGAAGAAAGTCTTCTAATTGTCATCTTAAGAAGGTTTCACATAATGCAGTACCACATTCAGTTGAGCACTAACCCCCGTGATCAGTATGAATTGAGATGAAGGCCTGAGCTGAGCTGGGAAGCTCATGGCTCTTGCTGGGGTGGGGATGGGTAAGGCAGAGTTAAGAGAGACTCCTATATAGAAGAGGGATAGAGTGGTAAGAGGGAGTCAAGAGATGAGTTCCAATCTTGATTTCTGCTGGGTAACTTTGGACAAAATTAAAACAAGTTTAGACTAGATTGATTCCTAAAATATATCTTATCCTTCCCCAACTACCACCTACAGAAGGGGAGGGAGGAACAAGTTAGAATAAGCCTGGGAGGAAGAATCTGCTGGTGTCCAGTGGGCCCTTCAAGTTGGCATCTCTTTAGATTGGCATCAGAGTTGTGTCTGGGAGATGGCTAAAGTGGTGATGATCTCTTTGATGTGAGTCTTGAGTGCCCAGTGAGACACAATTGTCCATGGTCTCCTCCTCTTCCCCCACCCCCCAAGGCTATTGGGCCAGCCTTGGGGATGGGTGCAAATGCCCTTTGTTTCCAGTCGGGCTGGCTGTAGAAGTGTCTCTCCCACATATTCTACAGTCCCACTATCTTTGGAGACCTCAGGACTTTGGATGCTGACTCCTTGTTAGAGGAGAATTAGGCACATCTTTTCTTCCTACTTTACCCCTTAGATGACCAAGGTTCCCCATCCCACCCTCAACATTGCGGACTGAGATGCTCACCATCAGCTTCCTCCAAGTTCTTGACTAAATGATGTCTGGAGGCAGTGGGTGGGACATATGGGGTGGAAGTTGAGGGATTAAGAGATGCCCTTCCTTGTGTGGGGGCAGGCAGGAGGGGGGAGCAAGACCCTTTTGCACAACTCTAAGTTTCCTTATTTTGCCTCTTCATTTTTATTTTCTGCATTGTGTTTTGGGAAAGAAATAAAAAGACTAAGACCAATAGAAACTGGTTTTCAAAAGGACAAATACACCCCCATCTGTTTCAGATACTGCCAAGCGCTTCTGCAGTGACAGATTCAAATAATAAGCTAATTTTTGGAGAAAGGATTAAAAGAAAAAAAAAACTTTGTAATATTTATCACTTGCAAGCTATGTTTAATAAAGAAAGGAATGGTTTCTAAACTTTCCTGTGATTGATGGTTTGGGCATGGGGATTGGGATTGGGAGGGTGGGAAGGAGCAGTAGCCACCCTCTATCCAAGAGCATGAGGGAATAAACTGGCTTAGCCTTCTGTCTCCATTTTGTGCTCTGCTGTTGGGTAAGCAAAAGGTGAAATTCATCCACTATACCTCACCACCTATGCCTGCCCTATTTACCCCACACCTCCCTCCTGCCTCGTCTTCATACTGCTCACATTATCCTCTTGGAGTAACAATATTGCTTTTTGTAAGAATAGTTTTTTAGAATAACAACAGAGAAAGGAATGGCAGTAATAAAAACAAGTCTCAGTGACAGTTTAGTGGGAGAAGATATCCCAGTCTATAATCCCATAGCCCTTTAAATCAAAAGCCCTTGATATCCAGGTAAGGAGAGGAAACTGTCTCCCTGAGTGAGTCTTTCCAATTGCTCCCAAAACTAAAGAACCCATTGGCATACACAAGAGTTACAGTATTACCTTATTCCCTACGCTTTCTTTTAAAACAAACCAAAAAAAAGCCCTGACACTTCATCCTCCAAAATGTTCCTTTCTGCCTTTGAGCATAGACTCAACTCTTAATTGTGTTCTTCATTTCGGCTTTTATTTCCAACAAAACTAGCACCAGGGTACTCTAGGGAATGGGTGCCTTCTCCACAAGGTTTTGGGTGTTGGCTGTTGTATTCCAGTCTACCTCCACACTATTCTTGGATCAGGCTGCTTCTGCTCCCTTGTTGGAGGGTATATAGGGTGGCTTGGAGTTCCTGGGACTGGGTTTGTTGGAAGCTTTTCATTGGTAGTAGCATCACTCAGCAAAATTTCTACAAACGCGAGGATTGGGTAGGGTACACTCCTCAGTCCTCGATATCCTCCCCAGGATTTTTTGGCATGATACTGGGAGGGTGAAGGGCTGGCCTTAGGATGTGGAGGCTTTGGCTTTGGGGTCAAGAACGATGTTTGGGGAACAGGAAGGGCTACAAGGTCTCTGTGCCCCAAAGGTTGGCAGTGATGGGGCAGGAGGGGGAAAACAATTTTTTTTCCTAGGAGGAGTGCCCACAGTCCCTGCACTTATTCTACTAGGGGTTTATGTCTGCAAAAAACAAACCTGACTCAAACTAAATTCTCTGCTTTCAAAAATAGAAATTAAATGGGAGAGAAGGAAAATAAGGGCTTTCAGAGAAGGCCACTGCTTTGGATTGTGAGGCAGGATAATACCTTTACCCCTCCAAACTCTAAACCTCCATTGAGGTTTTAGAGTGTTTTTGGTTGCTCAGAGAATATGTGCCTGAACGTACAAGAGTGTATGTACACACATGATGACTTGGCTCTGGAAGAAATGTGAGGTAGGCAGTTGAGATTAAGCACCTTAGAACACACTGACTGTGGCATTTGAGCTGCTGAGATCAGAGAAGAGATGCAGATGCCTGCGTGTCCAGTTCAGAAAACTGACTCATCTGAACTTAGAGGAAAAGGGCGGGAGTGGAATAAAAGGAGGAAAAGAGGGTTGAATAAGAGGGGAAAGGTTCTGGCTGTAGAATAGAGAGGAATGTGACAGTGGAGCCCCTAGCCCCCGATTTGGGGAGACCCCTTAAAGCTCTTCATCTTTGGGCAGAGTCATGTTTGGATTAAGACATTCTAGATTGGGGAAGAGGGACCTGGGGGGACCTCTCACCTGAGAGTATTTGGTGTGGTGGGAGACGTAATCTGGCCCCTGGAATTCCCATCACTGGCCCAGAGGACTATAAATGAAAAAACAACAGTGAGAAAACTTTCTCCCCTTTCCCTCCCCAGGTGCTGAGGTAGCTTTGGTTCTGTCCTGACTCTGGAAGTAGGGTAGGGTGAGGTAGATTCTTTGGTGGTTCTGGAGTTTTTCAGGGTGGGCAGGGAGGAAGGCCTCTAGGCTGCAGACTGTTGCTCCACAGTGACCTAGAGAGGAAGATAAGGAGGGAGAGATGCAAAGCACCAGGGTTTCTGTTCTAGATGGCCCATTCCAATACCTACCCCACAGGGATGCGGGAATCAAATGAGATATTTGTAAAGCATTCAGCAGAGTTCCTGGCACATGTGGACATTTAAATGCTTATTCCATTTCATCCTGTTACCTCTCCTTGAGCTACCAACCACCTCCTTCCCATTTACCTGGGAAATGAGCTCAATCCTCTCTCCAGGTTTTCCTCCACTCTCTAGCTGGCCTAGGGAGGCCCTGTCAGCAGAGCCTGGGGGTACTGTCCAGTGCTCCCCGGATACTTTCCTGCAGAGGAAACTGAGGACCAAATGGAGAGAAGGTTAATTGTAGCCTAACCCCAGTATCTCCTCGCTGCCCCATTCCACATTTCTCCCAACTCTACAGGAACAAAAAGTGGGTTTTGGTTCATCCCTTCTACTTGTGTTTTTCCCATTTGCATCCTCAAAGAACACTGTTCCCTGACAAACACACTCACACAGCCCACAGGACACAGAGCACTTACAAAGCATTTTCCTCCTCTCAACAAATAGGTAGTACAGATATGATTTTACTGATTCCCAGAGAGGTTGCAAATGACCCAGGATCAGCCCACCAGTGCTTGTTGGAGCCTAACTTGGAACTCGGGTCTGGTGACTTCAGGTCTAGTGTTGTTTCCATCAAACCACCCCACATATCAATAGCTAAAGCTTCTATAGTGATTGGGCTTTACATGCATTATCTCCTGCCTTCCAGCCCCTTTCTTCCTTACCTATGGCGCCAGCCCAGGAGGAGGCAAAGAAGACAGATGATGAGGGCAGCAAAGCCTACATGGATGCCCACAAACACCCCCGGCATGGGAGTGTTCTCCATAAATGGGGTTTCCCCATCCTGGCTGCAGGGGCATCTTGCTTTGGGATCTGTGGTACAAGGCATAAGGTAAATAAAAATCACTCTCAGGATGCCTGATATAGGGAGGAGTGGCCCTCCTTTCTACTCCCCCACCCCTTTACCGACCTCACCAACAGCAGTGTTGCGAGAACTTTTTTTTTGTAATCCCCAAGGAATATGGGGAGAAAAGCGTGGCCATGGTGCCCTCCAGAGGGAGACAGAAGCACCTCCTTCCCTATAACAATGCTCCCCCTGGTTTTTCCCAGGCCCCACATTACCTGCGTCTGCTGTGAAGGCATCCCGCAGTGAGACAAAACGGGCTGTGCTGTTTCCATCCCCATTTCCGTTGAAGGCCTGAAGCTTAATCTCATACAAGGCAGCAGGCTCTGGAGGAAATGAAATGTTAGCAATAAGAGGAGAGGTGAATAGGGCAGTTGGAGAAATGTGAAGAGGAAATCTGAGCTTCCAGAGGGGCAAGGATGGTGCTTGGTTGGAGTGAAACACAGCCAAGGACTTGGTGCCCAGGGGTTGGGTCTCACCTAGGTCAGTGTAGAGGAAGGAGCTGGCACTGCTGGCTAAAAGGAGGGGTCCCTCAAAATGGGCAGCTGGCAGCTTTCTGTGGAAGAGCTTGAAGCCTTGGATGAGACCAGGATGGGGAGGCAGATCCCAGGAGGCCTGAACTGAGGTGGCATTGAGCACTTTGGTATAGAAGCCAAGGGCTGCAGGAGCTGCAGGAAGACAGGCTGGCTGAGCTGGGTCAGTAATAGAGGACAGAGAAGTTGGAACTGGTGGTAACAGTTGGGGAGAAAATGGGGTTTGAGTTTACCCACCACTGCCCATGGTAGTGATGTGTACAGGAGGGGAGTCGTGGCTAGCACCCTCGGCAGAATACGCCCGGAGACGGATGGAATAGGTTGTTGCTGGATCCAGGTTGGTGAAAACATGTTCAAAGGTCCCTTTGCTCACTGCCTCCTGCAATTCCCTGCCAGGTGGCTCTGAGAGAGGGGTAAAGAAGAAGGAGTAACTTGGCACCTGTGTCCGTACTTGCATAATTCCCCTTAATGTGCCCCCCATCATTTCTGTTACCTCCCTTTGAGTGGATAATTCCTAAGACACAGTCTTCAGCTCTTTTGCCTTCTTGCTACACTTTTTCAAAACCTTGGCAAGCTCATCTGTTCCCATGGCTTCAGTTAACTATGAAGATAACACCTAGGGCTAAATATCCAGTCCAATTTATTATAAACTCCAGACTCATATCTCTGAATTGGGTCCTGGACGTCATTTGAATGTCCTGGGGACCTCAGATTTACCATGTCCGCAATGGAACTCAGCTTTTCTTCTCCCCACCCCGCCCCCTGCCAAAAAAACCCCTATCCCTTTCCTCTATTTTACTTTTTTGATTGTACTACCAACCAACAAGTCATCCAGGCTTGAAATCTTGAAGTCATCTTTGATTTCTTTTCTCTTTCATTGCCTATATCACCTCCACAGTGTGTCCCAGATCTTCCTTCATGGTGGCCATTTTCCATGCTTCTACTGAATCCTGAATTCTCCCCCTTGGGCCTTGTGCTCAGACAGGTGAGCTTTTACCTAATCTTGTCTGGAACTGGACCTCTACATCATTGTCAGCCAATTCCAAACCATGCAACATGGTAGCACCTCCTCCTTCTAGTTCTCCTGAGTTCTCTTCCTCCGTTAGAATGGCAGACACTAACTTGCTTGCTTGTACTTGCATCCCCACATAGGACTCAATAAATGCTGCTGTTTCATTCACGCAATCTTCATTTTCATTCACACTAACACCACCCGAGTTCAGGTGTTCATCACCTCTGGCCTGACTTCCTCACTCCAATTTCTCTCCTTTGAGGACTGTGTGGCGAAATGGATAGTGTTGTTCTGGGAGTCAGGAAATAGGTTCAAATCTTGACTCAGCATTTACTGATTTTCAGGACCAACGTCTGAATTTTTTTCCTTAACTACAAAATGGAGCTAATAATATTTGTATTGCTGACTTCCTTCGATAGTCATGAGAGAAAGGTGCCATGTACACCTTAAAGCACTCCTTCGTTTTTATTCTCTTCCAGTCCATCCTTCAGAGCTGCCACTATTCTTTTCCTAATGGCTGACTCCCCTACTTAAATACCTCCAGTGGCT